TTACTGGAATAGACGAGACTCTCATCAATAAATTTGCTGTAATTTTAAAAACTGTATCTTCTGGTTTTGCTATAAATGAGCAGAAATTTGGTAAATATTGTTACGAGACAGCTCAGTTGTACGTCAATTTATACAACTGATACTTCATGCCATCTTCTGTACATAAATTACTCGTCCATGGTGCTATTATTGTATCTGCATCAATTTTACCAATTGGACTCCTTTGAGGAGAAGCTCAAGAAACCAGAAACAAAGATTGTAGAGATATGAGGGAGTACTATACAAGAAAATGCTACAGAATTGCGACAAATGAAGATTTATTTAAAAGACTTCTTCTTTCATCTGATCCTTTAATTTCGTCTAAAAAAACAATTGGCAATAAAAAAGCCGATCATTTTCCTCACGAAGTTCTTGAACTGCTTACAGATGCAATAGATGCAAATTGAGATAGATATAAGATAAATATGTAGTTATTAACCAAATTTAAAAAATTATAATAAATGTTACTAATAAATATATTTGGAATTTTTTGGCATTTATTTGAAAAAGTTCCAAGTCCAACTGTTTCAGTCAAAAATATGTAGTAATTTACTACATATTTTTTTTACTAAATAATATATATGTAATAAAATATGTAGTAATTTACTACATATTTTTTTTACTAAATAATATATTTTAGATGATTTGAAACAACATATTAAAAAAAAGTTTTAATTAATTGTAAAATAAAAATTAAAAATTAAATTTTCGTATCTTTGTAATCGCTGGATATCGCTTGTTCTACTTTTGCGGTGCGAAGTGGTGCAAATTTTCTGTATATTTAGTTGTCTTTGACAGGTCACCAAAAATTTGCACCGCGTTGCCCGTTTGTCAAAACAAAGATATATCTATCACGCAAAAGTAGAACGAGCGATATCAAGCGATTATAAAGATACGAGAATTTTATTTTTAATTTTTATTATTGTAATTTTTTTTAGTATGTTGTTTCAAATCATCTAAAATATAATATTTAGTTAAAAGTATGTAGTAATATGTTACATAGATCACTAACTAGGTCTAAACTAACTTTCTCGTACGTAAAATACGTGTATATTATATATAAAGATGTTAAAAAAAGAAGTAAAAAAGCTAAGCGAGTGAAATACAGATAAAAATCAAAACAGTTGCAAGTAACAGTAACTTCTAAAGTGCAATAAATTAAATATAATGAAAATGTCATTTATGGCCACTTTTTTGAGATTTCGGAACACTGTGCGTCGTGCCAAACAAAATTAAAAAAATGAAAGTTTCATGTGGTAATTATTGAGAATAGGGGAGCCACCTCCGATGACTTTGACCTTGACATATGTTGTCAAGGTCATGATCCTGAGTGACTATCAAGAGGTTTTAATCGGCGGTCATTCTTTGTTATAAAGTTATTAATAAAAAACGTTATAAAAATTAATAGTAATTATTCATTATAGGAGGCCTCCAATGATTTTAATTTTGACGTATGTTGTCAAGGTCATGACCCTCAAGAGGTTTTAATCGGCGGTCATTCTTTGTTAAAAAGTTATTAACAAAAAAAAGTAACAAAAAATAATACCATGGGGGGGTCGGGGGGGCGAAGCCCTCCCCCCAGTAGGTAGTATGGGCGCAGGCAG